TTCTAAATCATTGACTGGCGTTTTCAGTTTTATATCCATTACAGTCATTTTAAGCATGTTATGCTTAAAATACTATAACTCATCTTTCTTTCTTCCCACTTTGGTTCTCCCACACGTATTCTCTGCCTAACCCCCAAGTCTTATTCTCATACCTAGGTCCACTAGAGCAAGCTCAGTTCCGCCATGTTCTTGGAGGACATCTGGATTGAGTCACTATATATTGCCAGAAATCTATGGTCCGTAATCCAATGGATATCACAATTAAGCCATATCTCCAGTCTTAAGATCAGTAGGTCATTGTTAATAAAAAGACATTCAGGATACCTCTACTTTGTGAGCTAGCTCAAAGTGTTGAGTTATATTTTCTTAGCATACTTTGGTAATACTAGGGCTTTAAGGAGCCTCCTTTATCTCAATGAGTGCTGGACTAACAGAAGGAGTGACAACAATGTAGGTAGTTACAGCAATGTTACATTCCAGTAGCAATGTCAAGGTCAAGTCACAAGGCAGAAAAGAGCAGATTCAGGGAAGCAGGAAGGGGTGAGGTTGGAACTTTGAGCTTTTTGGAACCTGAATATCTGCCAAGGAAATCACATGAGATATTTGAGACTCTGCCTGCAGAAGAAAGGGGGTTAGAATGCTTGTATATGTAGAAATTTTGTTGACTGAAAACTCAGAATCAGAGACCATATTTATGGCCATCACAGATGTTCTCTTTTAAGCTAGAATAGTAAGAGTTATCCAAATATTACTAAAGTATATTTCACAAGGAAAATTTTAATACAAATAAATATTACAAATAAATGCTTGAAGTGGAGAATACTCTCATATTTATACTCCCTCTGTTTCACTTACATTGCCTATTTGTAATAAATATTACAAATAAGAAAAATAGAAATAAGTGTCTTAAGAATACAGGCTGGAGATGTAGTCAATTGGTTTCTGTGAATAGAGAAAATTAATGTATTTTATCCATTTCATTGCATAATATGAAGAATTAAATCACCTGCATTTGAAGGAATTTGGTTTGGGATTCCTCATGGTAAGACAATTTGAAAAGGCTATTCAAGGTAAAATTTTCCTAAAGCAACAGTATTAGGACAGCCATGATTATTTGGTATTAGAAAAAAAATCCAACATCTTAGTGGCTTAACTCAATAGTTTATTTCTCATTCAGGCAAAGTCCCTTGAAAGTCTGGCAGCTGTGTAGATAATGGTTCACAATTCACCTTTTCTTTTCCCAAGGATGTTACATATTATCACTTTAGACACACAGATGAGAAGTACTTCTTTTTTTCATAAGTTAGGGCTTAATTCTCTCATGGATCCTCCACTGAAGGGCAACTGCCATCCACTTACTAAGACAGTCATCTGGGATGAGGAAGGCTCTACTATCCTCCACCTATATCATCTGGAATACCTCTTCTACTCAGTCAACATTATAGAAGAAGACACAGCTATAGAGGTATTGACCAGCTCTTTTATACTTTTGTCCAGTGATGTCATGTCATATCTGACCACAGCCATTGACCAGAACTAGTCTCATGACTTCATCCAATTGCATAGTGGTAGAGAATTGGAATGAGAGAAGAACCAGACATTGGTGAACACTTGTAATGTCTACCAAAATAAATTATGGTGATAGTTAAGAAATAATAAAATCTGGTTTTGATTTCTAATTTGGGGAGAAAAATATCTAACATCATATGCTTCACAGAAGAATGATTAGAAGAACATTCTTTTAAGAAGTGGTGACTTTTCTATCAACAGACAGAAGTTGGTCTTAGGATTTTGATTGTATATGAAGATAAGTAATAGCACTGGAAACATAAAAATACTTTGTGAAATCAAATTCTTAGAATTGGTTTATAAGAACATCAGTTTAAAAATATATCCTTGAGGACTTACTAATCAACAGGTATACGTTTCAGTTAAGCAAGATGAATGAAGTTCTAGGTATTTGTTATACAACACTGTACCTCTAGTCAACAATATTCTACTGTACTTAAAACTTTGTCAAAAAGGCAGATCTCACTTTAAACATTCTTACTACAAAAGTAAATTTGAAAACATAAAATAATGTCAGGATGTAGATCAAAATATTGTCAACAGTTTTTCTTTAAAAGACTGAATTTATTAGTTTATGATTTTTGTTCTGTATTTTCTAATTTTTGACACAGTACATAAACTTATGATGCATTCCTGCATGCAATTGTACAATGTGTATGCAAATCTTAATATATATGTATTACTTGCATGGCATAAAATATATCCAGTTGATCCTTGAACAACAGGAGGACTAAGAGTGCTGACCCCTGCACAGTTGAAGATCAGAAGGAAGAACTGAAATCAGAAAGTCAAAGACTTATTAGTGCTCCTATGTTAACTTCAGCATTATTAACATAAGCAAAGGTGTGAAAACAACTTATATGTTAAGTGACAGATGAATGGATAAAGAAAACATGGTGTATACATACAGTGGAACATCATTCAGCCATTAAAAAAAGGAAATTCTCTCATATATGACAACATGAATGAAACTTGATGACATTATAATAAGTGAAAAAAAAAAAACAGTCACAGAAAGACAAATACTGCATGATTCTACTTACATGAAGTATCTAAAATAGCCACAGTCATAGAATCATGAGTGGAATAGTGGTTACCAGGGACTGGAAGCAGATGGAAAGAGGGAATTACTAATCAACAGGCATAAAGTCACAGTCAGGCAAGTTGAATACCCTCTAGGGATCAGCTGTACATTTTACCAATAGTCAACAATAATGTATTGTACACTTAAAAATGTGTAGAAAGAGTAGATCTCACGAGTGCTCTGACTACAGTAGAATAAAATAATAAATGCATATCTAAAAATAATTTCAAACTGTGATAAATGCTATATAGTGTTAAGTTTTCTATAAAATATTAATTATTTTTTGAATGAAATGGGAATGAAAAATTCTATGTAAGCCATGTTAATTTTGAGACACCTGTGAGGCCTCCAAGTGAAGATACAATGACATTCCAGAGAAAAACAAAAGAAACAAAAATTAAAAACATGAAAAAGCTGTCAAAATGCAGGCAAGCACCTTTAAAATTTGTCATACCTAATACACGGTTTTTTCTGATCTATATATATATATATATATATATATGAAAATCACAAATATTTCATTGACATAGAAATTAAAACAAAGGCAGGCGATGAGTTTGTCTTACGAAGAGATTTACTGCCAGATGCACATTAAGTCCCCGCTTTCCAACTGCGCTTCCATAAAATGCCTCTTCCTTTACCCGGTTTTCTATACTTACCCTATCCACCAGCCCAGTCACACAATGATTCTTGAACTTCAAAGTGCATCCGAATCATCTGGGGAGCTTGTTAATAATCTCAGTCTCAGGGTCTACTCCAGAAGTACTCTGGGGCAGAGGGAAGATATTTGCACTTTAAAGAGTTTCCCATAGATTCTGATTAATTAATTCATTTGTCAAATTGTTCATTCAACAAATATTTATTGAACATTTAATATGTGCCAGACACTAGAACACAACTCCCTACTAATAATAAAAATAACGAAATTTTATAGAGTTTACCCTTGGGGTGGGAGTGAAAAAGAAAGTGACAGAGAATTAAAAATATATAAACCCAAACATAACATAGTGCATTTGAAAGTGGCAAGTACTAAGGTGCTGATAGGGACAAGGGGCAGAGAAATTCCACGCAGAGAAGGGCAGGTCCGTAACAAAACCCCACCTTCAAGCCAAAAAGCATGAAACCCACAACCCAAAGTGAGAACTTCTGTCCCTGTTTTCCCACTCAAATGTTGCCTTTTCCTCAACCACCCATGACCCTGCCCCACCTCATTCTGTACCTATAAAGATCCCAGACTCAGCTGCCCCAGGAAAGAAGAGCTGGACACTGGGAACTATGGCCAGATGCTGGAGAGAAGTGGCTTGATGTCAGAGGGGCAGCTTGACGGTGTAACTTTGGAGAAGAATCTGGCCAGAGTATGGCTGGATGTCAGGGGAAGATTACCGACTTCCCCCATCCCCCCTTTCAGCTCCTTTCTCATTGAGAACCACTTTCATCAGCAATAAAATCCCGCACATTTACTGTCCTTCAATTTGTTTGCGTGACCTCATTTTTCCTGGATGCTGGACAAGAGCTCGGGAGCCACAAGTGTGGATACAAAAGACTGTCACACTGGCCCTTTGTCCTCGCTGGTGGAGAGTAGCCACCTTGTGTGAAGAGGCAAAGGGACAACTGAGCTGTTAACATTGAAGCCATCCATGGATAGCAGAGCTAAAAGAGCACTGTCTCACACCCTCTGGGTCTTTGGGGGTCACAGGCACCCCCATCGGGATGCTGCTGTGGAGTTCGCTCCTGCTGGGGCTGAAGCAGCCCGCCGGTACCGTGCTCATCCAGTTCCATGTTGTTTGCTGGCACGCTCCCTCCCATGAGGAGTTGAGAGCCTCAGGCTGAGTAAAGGAGGCAACGCTGCTGCGAGTCCTGCAGAAAGGTTCAGGGAAACAGCCTCCTTCAGCGCAAATGAAAGCTTGAACTTTGTTGCCTTGCATTCCAGTCTGCCCACATTAAGCACTATTTTGCCATCAGTGGGCTGGTCCTGAGCAAAAATATTATATTCTCATCTAGCAAGTGTAAAATTTCCTGTCACAATAGTCTATAAATGCAAGCGCCAACGTTTACTTCTCTTTATTTCCCCCTTTAATGAAAATAAACCTTGTTCTTGAGCCCCTATTTCTCCTAATGACTAAGCCTAAGTCTTGTCAACTTTGTAAATTTGAGTGCTTCCAACTTAAGTGAAGTCTGTATTTCAAGATTCTCCTGTTTTGTCTTCTGACTTAAGCTCTGTCAGCAGGTCTGACCTCTTAAACTGCCGAAACAGGGAGGGTGATTTTGGTCATGGTTGCCTCTTGATTGGGTCTGCTGCTGGTGATGTTGGCCATCTGTTCTCCTTGCAGTAGTAAAGGTCAGTGAGGAGCTCACTGTCTGCCCCTGCTGGCTGGGCTCCAGCTCTTGCTGATGCTGTTGGTTCTCCAATATACAACCACATTGTTTATTTCAATGTTAATCTGGCACCAGGCTTGAGTAGTTCATCCAAAACCACATGTTAGCAAACCCATGGGCAATCCACTGGCTTTCAATTTTAATTGTCATTGCTTCCACTCTGGACATGCAGGAACTTTTAGGAGATCCCCAACTCCCTACAGAGGCCATGGGAGACTCAGTGCAGGACTGCATCTCAGACACCCCAACTGTCAATACAAGCCCTTCTGTTACTTCTACTCCACTGCAGCTCCCTACATTTAGTGTGTGGCAGTGTAAGAAATTGTCTCCTTCCTTTCCCAGACAGAAGGGGGCACGGCCCACTCAACTTCCCATCTGCCATTAAAACACTAGATTTCTTCTACTCAAGGAGAGTTTTAGCTGCTGACTATAATGAGGATCCAGGCCCCCACATTAGCATGAAAACTTTGACTCACCTCAACCTATCCTTTCAGACCTCTTTTCTACAGGCAAAGAAGTTCAATTATTTCCTCTTTGGACCAGGGAAAATGTCTTGAGTCATCATTCCTTTACCTTTAGCCTATTCCTGGCAAAATAAATATGTTACATCAAAAATTTGTAGCAAACCCAAAACATTAACAGTCATCAGGGGTAAGTTGAGGTTTGTGCCCCGTAAGGGATTGGCTAGTGCTGGGAATTAAGAGGCTTTTTGTTTCACGGACTTGGATGGGCAGGAGTTGAGGCCTATGGTCATGGCCATTTTAATTCACCAAACTAAAACTGAGAGCTCCCTTCCTATCCAGTTAAATGTAAGATCCTTAAAGGGTAATCTACTGTTTAAGAAAATCACCTATTAGCAAAAGGAAATAATGTAAAAACATGGATTAGTGTGGACTCTAGATGAGAAAATGTCTCCCTGAAAATGATGATCCATGGGCTTGCCATTAAGCAAGTCTGGCTTTATTTACACTACTCAGGAGGCGCAAGATTCTCCAAACCCACAGTACTGTTAGATACAGTAAGTTTCTCTTCAAAGGTTTAACTTCCTTGTTCTTTGTTCTTAAGATCAACTTTTTTGTACCTCCTCATCCCTAGTTACCTGCTTTGTAAACAATTTCTCCCTCCAGTGCCAATCCATAACTCACATTCCTCATCCCTTCCTCATTTAGGAAAATATTCACAAGAGCCAATTGGGTCAGCTTAGATTGTGTGGTCCAACCCTAGCCCATGGGGATATGACACAAAAGTAGGGACTGTGTTAGAGACAAACACCCTGTCCCTCCTTTCTTTGGTGTGTTCTCATAGCAACAAATGTTGTGAGCAGCATCCTTCTGCAGAAGTAAAATTGCCTTGCTGAGGAATCTTTTGAGTGCTCATTTTCTTTGTAACTCTGAGCTTGTATTTCCAACAGTATTCTTTCCAATATATCTGTACACCTAAAATAAAATTATAAGCTCTCAGCCATCTTAAAGGACTTCCTTCTCAGCCAGGGATCTTACAAAATATAACCTGAAACACTGGTTCAGGCCTTGAAGGGAAGTGGATCGGACTTGTCTCATTATACTTCTCCAGCATTAACACCAACACTGACTTTAAGTCTGATGAGAAACATTTTACAACCTATTCTCTCTGAAGCCTACTACCTTGAGGCTTCAGGTACATAATGAAACTTTGGTCTCCACAACCTCTGAACTCAGCCATTCCTTTCTTTGATCCAAGGTCTTTAGAAAAACTCAACCAATTGTCAACCAGAAAATGTTTAAATTTACTTACAGCCTGGAAGCTCCTCCAACCCCCCTGCCCTCTTCATATTGTCCTTCCTTTCTGGACAAAACCAATCTATTTCTTTAATGTAACTAATTGATGTCTCATGTCTCCCTAAAGTGTGTAAAAGCAAGCTGCACCCCAACCACCTTGGGCACATGTTCTCAGGACCTCCTGAGGGTTGTATAATGGGCCATGGCCACTTATATTTGGCTCAGAATAAATTTCTTCAAATATTTTATATAGTTTGACTCTTTTCATCAACATTTCAATTTCCAGCCCTAGAATTTCAGGTCTTCCTTTCTTTATTCCTTTAGTAGCATTTATCTCTGTTGCACTATATATCTTGCTTATTTGTTTATTATCTCTGCCTCCTCAATATAGAATTTAAGCAATGTGAAGGCCGGTGTTTTATCTGGTGAGCTCCCTACTGTAGCCTCAGTGATTAGAACAGTGCCTTGTTATTCAGTTAAGTATTTTTTTTTTTTAAGTGAAATTGCATTAAATATAAAGAATGGTTTCAGGATAGGTAGTAAAATCACTATAATCACAAAACAACTATGGTAAGAGAGCCATAAAGGGTTCTGCAAATAAATCTTTCTGACAATGAATTCCTAATCAAAAATTGTAAAACTCACTAAGAAACAATCCACTAGGAATGAGAGTCATCATGCACTACAAAACACCAAGATTAGATACCCAAGAACTTTAACTGATTAAATTGTTAGATAGATATGAAATCAAGTTGCTTAAAATGCAGACTTTCAAAAATAATTCTAAACGTAATAAAGAATAAAGATGTTTTAAAAATAATTTAGTGTATTTGAAAAAAAAACAGCAACAGCAAACTCAACCTTTAGAAATTAATCATGGAATAATTTAAGTTAAAAACACAATGGCCATATTAAACAAAAAAAATTAAATAAACCAGAAAGAAAATTTAAAAAGAATATTAATATTGTGGCTTAATTTAATATTTTAAATAAAACATAATTCTAGTATCTTCTCTCCAAAAGATAGGACTAAGGATTTTTAACAATTTACTTCTTTATGCATTTTTCTGTTTTAAAAGTTTTTCATAAAAAACATATATGGATTCTAAAATTAGAAAAAATATTAGAAACTTTCATGTTTGTTGACTTTCACAGTAATTACATTGAAACTCTCAAATGAACACAAATATTAACTTAAAAGTTATTCAACCAAAAAACAATGCTTGCTCTTTGATTGATGCTTTCCATAATCACATCATTTTATTCTGAAAAAACTTTAGAAAACAATTTAAGCACTTGGAGATTTAAATATGAGAAAATCACTCCCTTTTCCTTCAACCTTCCCTCTGGGAAAGTATTCTTATTTTAAAGGTCTATAGGTGACAATTTAACTGCAAAATAGGAAAGAATGATTATTGGAGGATAATTTATAAATACTCTCTTAATAAATCATCCAGGGCAGAGGTATTGATACTTGGAATGTCCCCTGGGGTATTTAATAAATTAAGCTAGGCTTCCTTTGTGAAGGGAAGGTAGAAAATTCTGGAACTGTGGGTAAGACAGAGTCATTACAGTATTACGTTTGAGAAGAGATCCTCTAATGCTATTGGACAGAGCCTAAATTAGTTTATGTTGCAAGTCTATTCAGACCTTACTCAAAGCAGAGAAGAAGAAAGTAAATCAATGTTTTGTTTTTGTGGTTTATCAATAAGCATAGATTATATGCCAATATAAATGTAAAAACTGTTATGTTTATTATTTTCCTTCAGACCAATGAATAAAGTATAATAGGGAAGACAAATTGATTAAGATATATGTTAAATCAAATTATTTAAAGTTTTCTTAAAAATCAGTTTGATCCTTTATTCTAGCTTGTAAACTGATAGTTCTAGAAAGGTAACTAGAACTACACTTGTAAGGAGTTGCCTGAGATGAATATTTGCCTGTGAGTAGTTACAGCTCAAACTTGTATATTGGTAAGCCCTCTCCTAAAATAAAACTAGTTACTGACCACCTAGTTAGCAGTTCTTGCAATATAGTCTGAGGACTACTGTAGGTCCCTAAAAACCTTCAAAGAGGACAATGAAATTAAAAACTATTTCAATAATAATGCTAAGAATTATACTAAGAATTATTTACCTTTTTTACTCTTATTTTCTCTTGAATGAATTGTGCAGTTTTCCAGAAGTTACGTGAAGTATGATAATGTTATTACTTTGATGGTTAATAGGATTCACACTTACATACTCTTGTATTTTATAATTTCTCAGTTTTAATTTTTATACAGTAAATATTAATAGATATAATCCAAGTGAACATAAGCCTTTTGAGTTTCTTGTTAATTTCGAAGAGTTTTTAAAGAAATTCCAGCATGAAAATGTTTGAGAACTGATGACTGAATTTATTGAGCTGATGCATACCTTTTGTCCTAAAATGAACAGCAGCCCTGTATTTCCTGTGGAGCTGATAAATTCAGGTTCATTTTTGTTGTTATTGCTTCCTTTTTTTTTTTCTTTCCCTTTCCATGCCTCTTCTAAACCTGTTTTTCTTTCTCCAGCATTTCTCCTGTTGCTTGGAGCTTCCAAATACAAAACAAGAGTGAGATCTGAGGAAGACGTTTTTCTTCCCTAAAGAATATTAGTTAAAAAGATATAAGGATGCTAAATTGTTAAAAATAGAAATGATAACTAAGATCTAAAGTGGCATGTAGGAGCTAATAGAGAAGTGAGTCAGAGCACCAAATAGAACTTACAGTAGCGTAAGAGAACAGCAGCTCACTCTTTATCCTGACTCACTCCAAGCTCAAAAAAGAAGAGCAGAAATAAAGAAACTGGGAGAAAGGTGTCTTCTGGGAACTTTGTATCATACATAGCCCCATGCAAGGGGTGAGGGGTACTTTATCTTTCCTTGCAAGTCAAGAGGGAGGACCTTAAGTGGACCATAATGAGCCTAATGTGAGACACACATTTTGAAAAAGTTGTAATTAGTGATGTCTGACCTCCATCTGGGAAATTCAGAAGACCAGAAATGAATGAGCCACTGCTTTCTTTGTAGATGGGCCAAAGCAGACATGTTTTAGATGGACATGAGATTTTATACTTCAGAGAAAGAATGCATGAGTGATTGCACTGGACCAGATACGGGCATGATTTATACACACACACACACACGAACACACACAAACACACACACACCTGTATACGTATGCATATATGATACGCCATA